CCAGAGCTTTTTCTAGTGTTTAAACAAAAATAAGGGAATTAGCACATCTGTGTCCGTATATTCATTGTTATGCTCATAGGTTAAATCTAGTTTTAGTTGATGTAACGAAAAATATTCAAAAAGTAGATGAAATACTTGGATTATTAGAAGCTATTTATGCATTCCAATCGGTATCTACAATTCGCCATGATGCTTTTTTACAAGAAACCAAGTATAAAGTACCACAACATTGTGAAACAAAGTGAGTTTCAAAACACGAGGGTATTAAATTTTTTAAAAATCATTTTATTGATATTTTAAAAGTTCTTAATGCATTTAGAGAAAGTACTAAGACACAAGAAGTTGCAGAGGCAAAGGGTTTGGCCATACAGTTTGCTAAGTTTGAAGTTATCATAATAATTGTGTGCTTAAACAAAATATTAGATATCATTAATTGCTTATCAATTAACCTGGAATCAACTACTCTTGATATAAAACGTTGTACATTATTAATTAATGCAACAAAGCAACAAATATTAGAGTTACGTAATGATGAGAAGTTTTTTGAACTATATGAGCAATCATTGGTTATTGCTCAAAATTCTAAAATACCTACGCCATCTCTGATAATATTTAATCATCAAATAGATCATGACAAAATGCAAGTACTTTAGCCGATTATTATGTAACTATTACCACTGGTAAAAGAATGGCTTATTCATCTGATGACATGAAAACAGAACAAAAAAGAATATTTTTTAATATTTTAGACGTCATATATTTCGAAATGAACCGAAGTTTTAATACAAATGATAATATGTATGCAACTTTGGACCAAAATTCATCAACATTTTTAGACAGTGAAATAATTTATTGTTATGCTGAAACACTTCCATTTTATCGATCAAATGAATTTATTACCAAATTAAAATGCTAATGTTAACTAGGAAAAACCTTATTTTTATCTGTATCTAATCTTTTTGAATTATATCAAGAAGTAAAAAAAATACAAAGTTGGATTTGAAGAATTAACAAAAATTATTGAAAATGTTTTGGTAGTTCCAGTATCTATAGTGCATCAGCAGAAAGGAGTTTCTCGACGATGAAAAGAGTAAAAACATATACCCAAGGTCAACAATGACAAGTATTAGACTAAATAATTTAACTTTGCTGTCTATTGAGAGAGGAATAAGTGGACAATTCATAGAAAATCCATCCGTTGTAATTGACGAGTTTGCATCAATGAAAAAAAGAAAATTGGAATTTGCAATCTACAAATATTTTAATAAAGCTATATCTTTTTTATTAATTTAATTTTATATTATAAGTTTTAAAACATAAAATAAATCCATGTAATATGCCTATAATAAATGTATAACATACGGTATTCTGATACTTTTTTATTTTATAAAAATATTCATTGGTAATCCTTACATCACAATATCGGGCCTACTCAGAAAAAAGTGTCTAACTACGCCACAGCATTTTGCATCATTTTTTATTTCGTTTTCATGAATAATACTTATCTAAATTAAAAATGATACGGATACCTACATTTATGATGGTAACATTTTACTGCAGATAACTATTTTTGTGTTACTCCATAACTGCAGTGCTGTCACACGGCTCCAAATTGGTTGTGAGGAGGGGAGTGGTGAAAATTTAAAACGTTATAAATACCTTCTTCACAATAAAAATTCTTGCCAGTAACTGTTTTAGTTTTATATTCAGTGCTTGAATTAGAAAAGTTATAGAAGAGCTCGGCTAGGTGAAAAAAATTAGTGTCTTGCAAATACATTTACATTATTGTAACGTGATTACTCACCACCCAAACACGACTTTATTAACTTATTAATTATTAGGTCAGGTTAAATTAAACCCAAATTAAATGTACTGTTAAAATAGCGCCAAAATGAGAGCTTTAAATTTCAATAAAATAAAACAGAACCAAAAATTATTCATGATTGAAAAACAAAGTAAAAAGTAATCTATCGATTTAAAGTTTGCAATCACAAAATGTATCTCTATAATTTATCTACCTTTAAAGTTTATAAATGATACATATTATGGATATAAATAATTGATATGTTACTTATTTATATATATTTATAAAAAACTAATAATTAACATAAAGTAATAAATTACAAAAGTCCACAATATTGTAATTAATAGGTACTCGTTCAAAATCACTTTAGTTTTGATGAGCAAATTGGTATAGGCAAGGTATATCATCTTCTTCTGTCATTCTTTTTGAACCAAATTAAAAGTACACTACTCACTAGTAAGTAGTAATCAAAAAACAGAAAATCTAGTAAGAAATAACAATACTCACAAGATTCAAATAAAAAACAAAAAAAAATTAGGGAATTTAAAGAGGACAAACATAAAATAAAATTCAACAACACGTCAATACTGATAACTTAAACAATATAGGTTTAATTAATTTATACATGGTAAATTTAAGTTACGCACAATAACCATGAATATGAACCCAAGTTTTGGCAGTATATGGCAAGTTATCAAGACTAAAAACAAAACAAATTGTTGGTATAAGAGTAATAATAATAAAAATGCATTGATTCATTTATTGACAAACATTCCTATTCCAGATTTGCATATAACTTTAAAATCATTTAACCGTTCACTAAAAACAAAAATCACTTTTATGCACATTAGGATCTTGTAACTCCTGTAAACTGAAAGTTTAGGGTAGAGTTTCTGCAGTTTCTCTATTTTTCATAACCTTAACTAATAAGGAGTTATTACATAGCCAAATCGTAAATACATAGGTACCTAAATAGAATTTACAAATGGAATTATTTACAGGACCATCAGTTTGAGGAAACCTAAAACCAAGCCTACAAGAGATGCGAACATTTTTTTTTGTCTTGTTATCATTGAATAAAAACTAGAAAGTATCTCTAATATTTTTCAAGTATAAGCTGGAGACGTAACGTTTCAGAGGTTCAGTAAATCATTATTATTAAATTATTTAATTACAAATCTACTGTACTATGTATTAACATAGAATAATACTACAATCACTATAACTAAAACTGGACATGTAAATTGTAAATAATCATTGAAATAATATTGTACTTTAGTACTCATATTCAATTGTGGATATTCAGATATCGATATCACCAACAAGCTATCTAGTACCTACACAGACTCCAAAAAATAAGAGAACAGAACTTTGGTAATTCATTAAGTAAACTTAATTATTAACAGAAAAATAAAATTATTTAAACTAAAATGACAGAAAAGTGAAAACAAAATAACTAGAAGTTAATGTTGCAAAAATGTTTCCATTACATAAAAAATAAAAGTAACATAAAATTAAAAATATATTAACATAATTTTTATTTCAGAAAGTTGAAAGACTGAAATTATAATCACAGAATTTGTCGCTTACAAGTTGTACAGAAAGTAATAACGTAGACCATAAATCGTAACTTTCAAGAAAATGAGTAGACATAAGTATTAAGTAGTAACTTGAAAGAATGAAAAATACAAATAAAAACAAGGGGGTATAGTTAGGTAGCCAGAAAGCACTGTACAGTTGTTAGTGTCAAGTGTACTTTGGCATTGAGTAATGCCCGTAAAGTTGTGTAACACTTAATTTTCTTTTTTAATTGTCTGTTGCACAGTGCTATTTATGTGCCACATAGTCCATTAACTAGCATATAAATTTATATGCTCAAATTCCACTGCATAATTGTGATACATAAATTTGTAGTTTTGTATCTATTATCAATTTTTTCTATGAAGTACCTACTCCGGCTTAATACTTAATAGTGCCTGTTTAAAATATAAATTTCAACTTAGAAATATGGACAATTTTAATGATTTTGTTAAATAGGTAATTTACATTTTAAACACATCTATGTTTGGCAACTGAATTCAAATTTTTAAAAAATATTAAATTAATCAGAATAGTATTTGCTTGTCAAAAATCTTGTAGTGAAAATAATTTGATTTTTTGGTATTTTGTGTGAAAGAAGAGTAGATCTGAAGAATACCAGTCTCGTCCTGTATATATCCATCATCCATTATAAAAATAATTGTTTATACAATATATTAAAATATTAGAAATTTTAAATTTCATAATGCATTTATAACAAACACAAAATATAATATAACATATATGCTTAAAAAAACAAACATTTAATTACATTTTTAAATTTCATTTTATTCATAAAATATACAATATTTTCATGATACTTAATATTTCCCCATGTTAAAAAAATAAAATAAAACTGTATTTGTGGTTTATAATATTGTACAAATAAGCTACTATATCTGGATGTGCTTGATAAACACTTAGAACAGAAACATAATTAATACAGTTATATTAATTGGTCAAGACATATTGATATATACATGTGTATATAAATCAGTTATAATTTAAAAGTTTATATAGGTAATAATTTGAAGTATGAAAATAATTATTTTGTACTAATTTAGTTTGTTAAAAACATTATTTTTAAGAAAATAAATTAAGGATACATAACAAAGTAATAAATGTTTTGCTGGGAGAGGGGAAATAAGATTTTGATTAAATCAAATGAACTAATAAATTTTAATGTACATGATGATATCGAAAATATTATGTTATTACATGTTTAATTTTCATTAATAATCATACATGTATTTTAAAAAACAAACAAAAATAAAAATAATGAATATAATAGTCATAAGACAGGAACAGAATTCAAGTAAATTAAACTGGTAAATTTTTTTTTTAAGTCTATTACATACTGACAATTGTGAAAAACAAGAGCCATGAAAAATTCTGTTTGTCTTCAATATATTTTTATTTCAACAGTTCAATATATTATTATAATATTATGTAGTCTACATTTTAGTTTTATGTAAGAAAATAGTATTTATTATTTTACAATAAGAAAATGAATAGTTAAAATTGGTAACATCTAAAAAAATAATGCTTTTCATGTAAAAGGTACAAGGCACATTTATTTCTCTTAAAATCTAAAAAAATTTAATTTATACGAAAAAAATTGCCAAAAAACATTAGTATTAAATTACAATCTTTTAGTATTCGCTATTCTATTTGAATTCCTTAACCAATTTTGATCAACAGTCAATTTTAAATATCCTGACTAGATCACGAAAAAAAAATTACAAAAACCTAGTTTATATTAAATTGGAGGAGGAACTATCTGTAAAAACGGGTTTAAAGGAGAAAAGGTAATTTTTCAAAATATTAATTCATGGAATGTGGATGTCATTAAGCTCTAGTTTCCCTTACGTGTTGAAAATAGCATCGTACCCTTAACAAAAAGAGCTGTCGTTAAGGACGCTGAACTAATATCACAATGGTATCCTTTGTTTTTACAAAAATTAAAATTAAAAAAAAAAAACAATAATTTAGTTTGCTTAAAGATCTCGTATACACAATAGTATTGTACAAACAAGATCGACAAACATGAAACTTAAACGCACATGTTTAACACAATTTGGTTTGAGTCACAAATTCAATAAAATTAGTCTTTATAACTAGTGTTTAGTTTGGGAATTTGAGAATAACATTGCCATCTCAGATTCCGTTTTCGGTCACCCTGTGTCATCTGCAAGGATCGAGCAAAACTTCGATCCAAGTCGGACAGGACGTGATTTCCTGCCGGGAGTACTTGGGTCCCCATCCTTTGGCGAAACTGATGCGTACGGCGTTCGGGTCGACGGGTCCGACTCTAGCGCCGTTTGAATAGCGTATTCGATCGCCGTGCGGGTTGCCAGTGAATATGTTCAGACAGTGGCCGGACGGTACGCGAAAAACCAGATAAGACTTGCTGTCCGGATCGTCCAGCGTTGGCGAATTAACGAACATCGGCCAGTCACTCAGATTGTATGCCCACACGCCGTCTTCTTCTCGGCTCAGAGCTAGACCTGAGTACAAACAATGAATCATTAATATCAAAATATACATTAGATCAAAATGCAGGTATTTTCCAGAAAAATGAGAGAAAATCACCAAAATGTATTATAATCAATACAAATGAAAAACGTACCTTGTCCAATTTTGGTCCTGTTCCTGAGTACAGACTCTGGAGGGCCCTGCGCGGGTGAAAAATGATGTTGAGTAAGGGCGGCTAGAGATAGACCCGTGCCAAGTGGAACGTTCCAAAACACATTCACGGATTTTGTTTCTACGGGAAACAGTCTGCCGACTCGTTGCGATAGTTCCCAGTATGCCACTTTACACCACTCAAGTTCGTTTTGTTTTTCTATATAAACATACAAATTTAATATCATTAGTAAACAATTCTAGTTATATTAAGCAACATGTTATTATCGGTAAATTTTTACTTGTAACAATTTATTCTTAAGTAAAGAAATATAAAATACTATAATATGCGTATGGTAAATACTATGATTTAAACGTAAAGTAGGCGAAATTTTAGTTCTTGATACCTAAAGAAGGTAAAAGTTTTCACCAGCCCATATAGTTGAAGAAAACAACAGTCGGTTCACTCACAAAATAATTTCCAGTGGTGTTATTTTAGATTTTTTTAGGAAAGCCAAACAGATAAAACTACAATACTGAACACCAGAGGGTTAGATTCCTAGAACCTGGTCGATGAGGGTGTCTATCTCCCCTTTTGGGTTATTTTTGCCACATAAATTATATAGTAAAGCAATTAATGTACATTGTACAATTAGCACGGTCCGAGAACAGTCAAAAATTCATGTTTTAGAAATAAAACCTTACAGGATTATATGATTCTTATTGTACTTGTACATGCCAGCATATAAATATGTCACACACCACTCAGTACTTAGTACATACATGATACATAGGTGTACACGCCCACAGATATAAAAATATTCCAACCATTAAAAAATGTTTAACTACCATATTGTGACAATTATTTTCCAGTACACAAAATTCCTGGGTATGTACAGTTACACAAAATTATATAAATAGCAAAATGTTATCAGCAAAAACCGGTAAATCGGCTAAAATCAAACAGGGATCACTCCAAAATGACGCAGCTGAGTATAGTAGATAATAGCGATATGATTCGATTACGGAAAAAAACTTAATACGTATAAGACATCGAGATGACGGGACGTTATTACGGTATCATTAAATAATCGTCCTGCCGTCATTTTCCCCCTTTCTTTGTTCTATCCGAGGCGCATTAACGACATTCCGCCGGCGTGTTTAAGTTATGACGGCGGTGCCATGGACGGGGAGGGATGGCGGCGGCGTCGAAGCAAAAATATAGAGCCCATATTATTATTATCAAACCCGACGAACCGAAATAAAGGCAAAAACACGTACACCTCAAGGGACCTCTACGGCAGTGTTACGAGTTTACGAAGAGTGTGTATGCGATCGCGAGGCGCCTGGTACGACGAGCCGGGTGTACAATAACGACGACTAAGACCACCACCACCACCACCACCACCACCGAAACACCGCCAACGCCAGATGTGATTTATATGTGAGAGGCCGTCGCAGACTCGAAATGAGTTCACCTTCAACCACCGCACGAGAAAAAAAATAAAAACCAGCAGTATAATACACATACAACACATAAATAAGGGATTCTCATAATATTATACAGTCAGATCAATTGCAAGGTGACGACCGAACGCGGCGGCACACCCGCCAAAAATTCTCTTCGGGCACGTTTTCATTCTTTCCCATTCAACAAAAATAAAAATAAAATATTCCAACGCACATCACCACGCTCCCGGAGAGTACATTATTATATTATATTATTTACCTATAACACACAAATACACGTGCGCACACGCACGCGCTCGCGCCGTACAAACTGGTTTATACAAATGCAACCGAACAAATGAGACGCACAGCGGTACGTGCGTTTGTCGATGACGACGACGACGACGATAGAGCGCGAGGGATTCAGATTTTAGAGGAGGTATACCACCAGCAGACAACGACGCAGCGGTACCAAACGGCCGCGACGATCCCGATTCCCGTCGTAATGTACTCCACACACGACCTACCTACATGGCATTATTATAATAATTACAATAATAGTGGTACGGCGTATTGCAATCCGTACATTGCGCGTATCGTATAATATGTATAATAATAAATAATAGGCCGTGATCCACTGATCCGTACACGCCGGACTTTCTAAACACAATATAATACATATTATATACATATAATGATGACGATAAAACTAATAACCGAACGCACACGCGGTTTGTTTTTGGGTGCACGCGGCATTTCTGGCATTCCGGGCGGCCGTCGGTGGCGGTTGATGGGGCGCCGCCCACCACTCGCATTCCACCGAGAGACGACGAAGACACGTCCGACGTCGTCCTTCCATATAAACCTTTATTTATTTATTATTATTATTATTATTTTTTTTTTTTAAGGATACTCCGTCGTCACTGCCTAACCGTGTACACACGCACGCACACACACACACACACACACACACACACACACACACAACTGTAGGTAGTAATAATAATGGTTTGGCGGCGGGTCCCTATTAGTCTTCTCAGAGAACAAACGGCAATCGTCGCTGCTCCCGTGTTTGTTTTTCCATCTCACTCTGTCTCTCTCCCTTTACCGATCGCTCGTTACTTGATTTCTCTACAAACATATTATACCTACCCACCGCCGGCAGAAGAGCGCATTGTTGTAGTTGGGTTAAGACGTGTAGGTACATAAAACAAACACTCCAATCCTTCCGAGAGTAAAACAATATATTTTACGAGTGTATAATATTATATGATACGAATTTTCATTATAAAAACGATTTAAAAATAACGTTTGAATTGTTAAAACAAAATAAAATACTTGGCGATCACCGATTTAATACCCATGTTATGTAAACCTGTTTGTTTAATTTATTATCACATCCTTATCACTATCTAATCAACGCGCATTATAAATTATAATCAATTACACTCTTGAGGTTTAATTGAATACCGACAGGCGACCAAATGGAAAGAATAATAATTATTACCTGTTAGAATGCAGTATTTCGACGCTTTTTGTTGAATACCTCTTCCTAATCTCGAAAATAGAAATAACAGAATGTCATGAAAAATATAAGAACACAAATCCCTCCGGAATTGTCTGTCGTCTAACAAGGTTTTTCAGTGCAATAAAAACGTTGAGGCCCACTGAGGGGTTTTAGCGTCCGCGCGCGTGTGCTACGGTCCGTATTTGTAGTACAGGTAATTGGGATTTTGCCTTTACGCCCTGCACACGAGCAACGAGCCAGTCTTTGAAGAGAAAATATGTGACCCGCTAAGAATATCTCGCCACTATACAAATTTTTCCCCGTTCACGCCGTTTCTCGGTACATTATTTTATTGTGCGTATACACTATATACATCACACACGCAGCGTTTCTGAATAGAATATAAGGACTATATAGACCACCACGTTATATTGAAGCATTTGTCCTCGAAGGATCGGTCCGCCCTTTCGTCGACAACAATATAAATAAAATAATATTGTAATAATATCGTTTTCGATTCCCGAATCTGACCCACGCTGTGTTCAACGCTGACCGACGATTGTAACGAAAAACCAAAAATAATATCACCTACAACGCGGAGGAGTTTAGTGGACGACAAATTTATTAAAAACAACAATAATATTTTACAATAACGCGAAAAATAATGATCGAAACAAATCGAGCATCGCCGCCGTCACGGGTACGAATACACGACGACGACGATAATTATTGTTATGATAATAATCATAATAATAATATTGTTATCATCTCGTCATTGTAATATTATACAGATGACAATATATTATTAATATGCTAATGAACCGAGAGCAACAGCGGCGGTGGCGGCCGACGAGCACTCTCGTCTCTCCCGCAACCCACTCCGACGCGCACACGACGAGACGACCGGTTTTTCGTTATTTGTATTACACACACACGCACACCCGGTGCACGCCACATACATTTTTTCATTATTATTATTATAAAGCACAACAGCCGCCGAACGTATATGTGTATATATGTATATATATTATGTTATTAAACGAATTCCGCGCGTCTCTCTGATGTTCTCGGTCGCACACACACGCAGCACAAGTAGTATAATATCAACTGGCCGCCGCCTCAGGTCTGTGTGTGTGTGTGTACTCTTTATAAAGTCGGCGGCGAAAGCATTGTAATTTTCGTAATTGGCGCCCACGGGCGAATTGTCGCGAAAACACACGGATCGCGGCGATCAAGCATGGGCGTGCCGACGAGGGGGAAGGCTCGCGGGGGATCCGATTAAAATATATACGAGCATACGGCTGCCGGCCGCGCGTGTGTGTGTCGGAGGCGGCGTTTTTCATAGACACAAACGAAAATCGAGTGCGTGTGGGAAAAAACCGACGGCCGAAAATATATAAGAGGGAAACGAGAAATTGACGAGTGCTTTACTCGTTATTATAATAATATACATTATATATTATACGCCATCTCTCTCGCTCCATCATGTTCTGCGTTATTACTATTATTATTATTATTATTATTATTATTATAAGCCGAAGTCGTAATAACCGGTCTCGGGCGCCGCCGATCGATGGTGAAAATGTAATAATAACGATTTTGGAAAAAAAAAAAACAGAAAACTCCGTAATTGTTAGTCGGACGAGACTTGCTGTGGTCGAAAAATTTGACCACTGCTGTAAAGAATATCGTATTGTAGTGTCTATTCGCTGTATGACCACCCGAAATACGGACGCGGTTTTCGTTTTTATCGTATTTCTACAAGCACTGTCAACGGCTTTGGTGTCGGTCGTGGCGAAGGGACGACGACAAGCGGCGATCAAAGACCGTTCGTGACGACGTCGCGTCTTACATCACCACCACTCGTGATCGTCATCGGGAATCGAAGACTATATTATTATTATCATTATTATATTGGGTCGTCTCGAGTTGCCGGCGACGAGCGAGAGTCGAGTTTCGGGCAGCCGGCTCGCCGAGACTACGTCGGCGACGGACGGCAACCGGTTTCTTCTATACGTATCTGTTGGACGCGCACGCAGTGGGGGCCCCGTGATGAATGGCCCCGGCGCGGCGGCGTGCATAGACACCGGCAACCCGGTCGGACCCGGGCGCCACACAACCCGTCATTAGCATCAACGGTACACACACAGACCACCCCACTCCCGCGACCCGACGACGATACGCGCGCGCGAGTACAATGCAAACATAATAATAATATAATAATGTGTTTTTTCAATTATTATTTCGTTGGAGAGCCCTACACTATTCTTCGGACGAAAACGGGTTTCGGGATGGGGGAAAAATTCGGGATTTCGTCACACTGATCTACACAGAGATTGTGCGTTCTCTCCGATATTGGCGTATGAATTTTTCAGCAACTGCGGTGGAAAGGTCGATCAAAATACGTACAGGACGTGTGCGTTTCGGCGACGACAGTAGTAAATGTTGTTGTGGTGTTTATTTCTCCGATTTCGTGTTTTTCACGACGAATCAACAGCGTTGACGTGACGTCACGGGCGCCAGCAATACGGCCCTCGGCCCGTCGCTTGTAATGGTTATTTTTATCGGTCTTCGAGTGGCGGAATGGTGTGGGTGGTGCGGTGCGGTGGTGGAGTGTGTTGCTGTAAGTGTGTGTGTGTGTGTGTGTGTGTGTGTAGCGTGTGCGGTTCGAAAAAAATAACCAACGTCGCTAGTCTATTTACCCCCACTCTGGTCACCCAGTACCGGCAAAACACAACGACAACACACACACACACAGACAAGTAATAATATTCGTCGTCACCGGCACATATTATTATCATCGGCCCGTCGCCGTCGCTGGCACCCGGCACCGCCGCCAAGCCATTATCATCATCGTCGTCGTCGTCGTCGTCGTCGTTGTCCTCCCTCCGCACCACTTCGTCCGCTGACGACGCCACGACCTCATCGTAACGATAACGCGCGGTGGCGGTGCGTGGAGAGGGAGCCGCCGCCGATCATAGATCGCTGCCGCCAACAGCAGGCGCCGCTCATTACCGACGCCGCGACCGCGAAAACGATAAACAACACGCGCGCCAACAAATAACCCCACCGCCGCCCCCGTCTCGAGTGTATAATATTAAAATATGATATTATACTGCACGAGTAATGATCGATAATCCGTCGACGAGACGTAAAATATTATGAAAATAACATTGTGATTATTACAAGTGTGCGGGAGGAAAAAAATTATTATTTTAATATTTAGTTCTATAATAATATATTATTTATACGTTTACGATATGGCGACGTCCACCAGAAACGTTAATAATAATAATATGGAAATAACTAATAATTAATTTTTTTTCAAGTGACGCCACTGACGCCGTCTCGACAACAACAATCCACTTCTTTCCCCCCCCACCCACCACCACCGGCGTCCATCTAACCGCGGTGCACATCGACAAGGAGTTTTTTCATTTTTATTTCGATCCGATGAAAAACCGAACGATTTTTCATTGTAACTTTTAATCGTAATATGACAATAGTCATTCATATACACAATCGGCAGCGGGCACTTGTTACCACGACGACACCGACTGCGATTGCCCATGCCGCATCGGGTTCAATATTTTTTTGTTATCCGCACCGACCTCGTCTCTCTCGCCACCCCCTCCACCCCTCCGCCGACCCAATATATTGGTCCCGATAAGAGTCCCGAGGCTATAATAACACCGTAATAATATTACATATTATTATTATAGGTACACGTGTAATATTATATACATATATATATATATATATACAACAACACGGCGCGGCGGCAGTGGCGTGCACGCATGCCAGTGGCAGGCGGGCGGGCGGACGGGCGGGCGGACGGGCTGGAAGGTCTACGGGTAATTATGTCGTTTCCGTGTGGTCGCCACTCGTAATTAACCTTTGCCGGGTTTTTTTAAAGTTTGGTCGGGCGCCAGTCGGTCGCGCGGGTGCACCGCAAAATGTCATCTGCCGACCCCGCCACCGTACACACAATGTGTATATGTGCACGCGTGTGAGTGTGTACGGGTGTTTGTGTGAGTATATAATATATATATAATAAATATACGGAGAGAGGAGGCACATATGCCGAGACGCCCGGCGCCCACGACAATCGCTTCGCCGCGCCGTTCTCACGTTCCTATTATTTCGGCCGTCCTTCGCATAAAAAAAAAAAATAATAATAATAATAAGAAGAAAAGGAAACCCTAACATTGCCAAAATGTATCCTTTATAATATTGAGTATCGCACGACGTGTATTATCCTGCAGCGGCCTGCACTGTATTATATTATTATTATGTATGTTTGTGGAGTACGGACCTATGGTTATGATATTGTAAACATACAAATATCTGTAGGTACCAATGTCCCTATGTATATGAACGAAAAAATGCACACAGAAATCTAAAATGTACAGACTGTACAGTGCATGTATACTAAGCCACATGATTAAAAAACAATCAGAAAGGACAATGATTAGAATACGTGAGAAAAAAAGATAGATTTCACACGACCATTAGCTAGCTAATCATTATTTGTTTTTCCTGTGAAAACACATGGGCTCAGCTGCACGGTGCTGACAACACGACAACGACGTGCATATATTATACAGTCAATTCCAATTACTACGACGGTAATGATTCCACAAAAGTAATTATTCCATTCGGTCATACTATTGTTTACACACAATAATGGAACTATTAGAAAAATATCTAATTACGCATACACGTTAATCTAAAAATTAAATTAATGCTTACCGTCACCGTCAGTGCTAAACGAACCACGAAGATCGTCATCATTACTATCCCAACTACATTCACTGGGTGCACGATCTGAAAAAAAAATTATTATTGTATTATTTAATACAATTTATTACCAATTTCATCTTGCCCAATCATCCATTATTATTTTTCAAGATGTACATAATAGATTTTTATAGTAAAGTTTATATTAAGCAAAGTTGTTTTTGTTGACCGTAAAATGTTGTATCAATATCCATTGTCACAAGCCTAACGGTGATATCAAGTATTATAATATTACGTAACCCCAAGTAATTTATCTCACATTAGTTGTTTTATTACCATTAAGCGCCGCCCCTGCTGTCATCACCGTTATCATAAAAAACGACTTCCCATACAAAAGCTGTTATCGATACAATTCTAGTTCAGTGTAAGTAGGCACAATTAAACAAACGATAAACATTGAACGTATTTAGTAGGATGTTATTAACTCGTTAACTTTTTTTCACTTTCGTCTGGGAAAATTCGAACGTGACTTCGAAAATATGTCTACCGGTATCGGCGGTATCTCAGGAATGATATTACCGATGACGGTATATATAGGTATATATAAAAGAAACAAAACAATACGGGAGTACCATACAGAATATTTATAAACCTATCTATATATATTATAGACATACAATCAGGCCGACTGATGGAGAGAAAAAACAATCTGTAACATTTCTATTGTGTGAGAAAAAAATCTACAGATTGGAGGGGGTTGCGGCGACGGTACACGTTGCAACAGCTCTTGTGATGCTGTTTTATATATTATTCCTGCTGTTCTCGATCAGATGACCACATTCCCGAGGAATGATTCTCCGATTCGCTCTCTCCGCGGGACCCATCCTCGTCTGTCCTTGCATCTCTCCGCACAACACACACACACCAGCTAGCTGGTTATTTTTATAGACGCCATGTTTATAAACGTCATTTTTTTTTCATTCACCCTTTAGACGTATTCGCCATTCTGTTGACATTCCGTCTGAGCAAATCGAAAATTATTTTTAATCTTTTTTATCTTTATACGCAAGCTAAACCTACATGCGACAACTCAAAACTTTGTATAACTCACGAATATTTAAATTAAAACAACAAACACCGACCGCATATTTAACGGTAAGGGCCTAAAAAGATCTAAAAAAAAGAGCATTGACTTCCTAATGATTTTTTCGAGTGACTCATACCTTACAGACTATAGATTAGATAATATAAACCAATGATCCAAATTCAGTTCCGATTTGGTCATGGCTGTGTGGCCGGAGCCCATAGTAGTATCTGCAGGAGCAGACAAAATTGAAAAATATCGTTATGTGATTACTGACTGTGTTTTGTGCTTGTTTATTTATTTACTGTCATGAATTGAAAAATACACCAAACATAATTAGTATTGTTTGGTTGATTATTACAGAGTGCAAGGAAATAATAAAATATAATATTTAAATCGTTTGTAATTTATATTTATATGAGTGGGAAAATGAATGTATAATGAAAACAGAAATGTGCACATGTATATAATATGCATATCAATAACATTAATGTTTTTGTTCTTTATAAGTTTGTATTATTATTGTTGCCATCAACACAAACCACTTGCAAACGAGTATTTTCTACTTAAACTTATTAAAAACAAACTTCGTTCAACATTACACCAATTTCGCCTAAAACCAGTCTTGTAAAGTACTTGAGTAAAACTATTCAAATACTTTTTAAGTACCTACTCAAATATGTATTCAAAATACCTTTGAGCTATGTTATTATGGAAAACCTATTTTAAACAATGTATCAACGTATCTGCACCTATTTAAAATATATTACCTACTAATTTTCAAATGTTTTCTATTTTCAATTATATTAACACGAAAATTCTAAAAAAAACACGGTTCAGTAGATTTATTGGTTAAACTCTTGAAAGTTTTTGAAAGTATCTATAAATACCCTTTTTAAGCATCTGTATATTTATAGCCAAATACTTTTTTTTACTAAGTATTTAAATACTATACAAAATAAATATTTGTATCTGTATACTTGATAACTTTTATACAGTCTATCCAACAAGACCATCTAAAACCATTAACATTAATGTATGTAATCATCGCAAAAAAAACTCATTGAAATAATAGCAATAATGCTTCGAATTATTTATAAAAAAGGCTTATATAGTTATATAAAAAAACTACAGGGAATATCATGTATTTAATTATTTTTTTATTTATATCAATATATTACGCACAAGTAATATGATTCTATTTTGATAAGTTTTTAAGACCTTCAAATTTTTTAAGTATGGAACCCTTTAAAAGAGTGTTCAAGAGGCGTTTGGCGTAACAGACCGACACTAGATCCAATAATCGTGATATATATATATATTTATACTATAAATAGGTACTCAAATTTAATGATTACGTATTTTAAACTTTAAATTATAATAATATGTACATTCATCATTATGAGTATATGACTAATTCTGTATGATTCTGAATAATCATAAAATATCATCGTCATACAATAGTTTGTAGCACTAAAATGCCGGGTGTGACATAGAGTCTGGTCTTTGTCATGTTTTTTTTTTTTTAAAAATATTGTCAAATCCGTGTTGGGAAAAGCTGAGCTTATGTTTTGTTTTCTTGTCCCGCGTGGAAACGGCAAAGAGGATATAACAGCGTCCAAATGTTCAGAGTATTATTTAGCAATGTATATAATTTATAGTTAATCAATATTATAAATTGTACCTATACCTAAAGTTTAAACCTGCGAAATGTTTATAGAATAGACTACATGAATTTCTAAGAAAAAAATGAATTTACGTTGTTTATTGAACCACTAATAAATTCGCAACTTTCTAGTTATAAAAAAACTGCAATCAAAGTTTATACGAGTCTCCGTATTCCGTATAATATTATTTCCTCCTGGCTGCATTTAATATATCTTTTTTAATAACCCTATTTTTCGTCGTTCTTTTGTTTTCACCCTCGCTACAGTCTACATTGGCAATCCGGAAATTCTACGGTACTAGCAAGCTAATCTCCAAGCTTCCACTCGAACGGATTATTATTCACAGGGGTCGTTATATGAGAATGGCCAAGAGGGTGGACCCGGGCAATGCACACGTGTACCTGCTTTGGGCTGCTGTCGCCTGCAGGATTAGGAATTTCCGAGGGGTGAATTCCAGATCGCTTTTCACCCTCCTGTGAAACACCGGAACAGTTTACGACGTTTTCATTCAGGGTAGGCGTCGTTTCAAGCACATGCAACCGGAAGATTACTTTCCAACAGTTTTTGCCTCTCTCGAAGAAAAATAATACTCCCAATATTTCTACCACAAAAGCAGTTTAAACTAGCACTATAAAAATAACACTTTGGAGAATTCATCCAATAAATAAGATGAGATGAGATGAGATGATGTTTACACAAGTAGTGAAATATTATAGTTGTGTGTGGTGTTTAATCTATAGTGGTTTGTTCAATAATTGAGAACTGTTTAAGTTAAACACAGTATTTTTAGGAAAAGTTTCATATATATGTATTATACAAATAATCAAAATAATAATTTTTACAGGCCTAAGATTGTTAATCAAACGTCAAGCTTTCATATTGAAATAACATTACATTTGTAAATAGAAGGACATGAAAAATACAAAACTATTTATAAGAAACGTAATTTGAATATTTCCTTGATAATAATAATTAGAAAATTAATTCGAAGGAGACTTAAAATTGGTTCAACTATCGTAAATCAACTTATTTAAATATATACAACTATTTATTATACATAGGTACCTATGGTAAATATGAAAATAATATTTTAAGATTTGTGTAAGTGTATCATAAAAATAATTTAAATTTGCCCAAGCACAGTATACTTTACTTATTAGTTATATGGACCCCACAGCTCTTCGACCGGTTAAATCGGAGTGAAATTGAAAGTTATTGACGCCGTAATTTTTTGGCCTTGTGCCACTGATTTTTTTCCATCAAATAATCAAATAGTTTGAAAAAAGTGTGTACGTGTAACTCACCCAAGTTATTTAAACGCTTGCATTTTGCAAAACATAGCTTTTTATTACGGAGGGGTAGTCGTGGTGTAGAAAAGTACGAGTTTAGGCAACTAGGTAGTATACTTGAAAAAAAGTTATGTAGTGTAAAAAAAAATGAACACTTACCTTCGGGTTTTAGTTTTTCCTTCACGAACCTTGAATAGGGCGGCGGAGGTCGTTCTGAAACAATACGAAACGCAACAATGTAGTTATGTTATGTATGTAATATAGCGTTGTTATAATGTATTTTCCCGATGAGACCATGCAGACCATGTCTGAAACTTTTACTAATCCACTATGAGTTCCTACACATAATATTGTGAGCACTTATATTTTTGGCAAGCTAAATGTGAGGCGTTTTCGAATATAATTGCGCGGCAGCAGCCATTGTCAGCCAAAAATCGCAAAATGTATCGTTATTGATTATTATGTATTATTATTCGTTACGTCAGAGAACAGTCATCAGTTTATCAACAGTAATAATTATAAAATTGCAGTGGACGACGAAGAATCAAAATACGAGTATAATGTATACACAATACACACAGGTACCATGTATACATATATACCTATTACCTACTACAACTACCATGACTCGTAATGAATATTTATGGGTATCAACAGTGAAAAAACATCACAGATTTTTTTCTTCTTCTTTCTCCGTTTTATCGGCGTGCGAGAGGACCACACAAGTTCGCATTATCCATTTGTACACGCGGGCGCGCCGGCAGACTATTTATACGACGAACAGTCACATACGCGCGTTCGGGCGCGCGCGCGCGCTCGCACACACACACCCGTAATGGATTTTTTAGAAACTCGCAGACCGAAGAAGGCTGAAGAGGAGGAGGAGGAGGAGGTTTATCGAGAAAAACGATTATTTCGTTATTTTTTTTCCTGGTTTTCGGCCAACGTAAATACGACCGACGTGTGCCAATATACGAGACGACTACGTGTGGCGCCGACCAGTATTTATAAATAAAATATAATAATAATAAAAAGCGATTCCACTCGCGCCGTTCGGGTTGCGCACGTCGGAGAGCTATATGGACAATGATCGCCGATTTTTAAATAACCAAATTAGTTTTTTATTTATCATTATTATTATTATTATACTATTATTTTCGTACCTTTGGCCGAGGGAATGTGATGACGGACGTCACGTACCGCCAACGCCGCCACCACCGCCGCCGCCGTCACACCGCAGACCCAGCGGAGAAAGACGTACGCGGTCGGAACGGTGGGCGGAGGGGGGACGCGCGAGCGGTTGGGCGCCGCGGCGGAACTGGTGGCGCCGTTGGGTTGCGTGACCGGGTCTGCGCGCTATTTATTTCTCATCCGGCCCGACGGCGACGACTACGACGGCGGCGTCGGGCCAGGTGAAGTGTGACGCAATTGGATCGGCGGATAGTATATTATTATTATTATTATTATTATTATTATTATTATTGTAGGTACACAGACTATGTTGTTTTAATATTATATGCGAAACGGACAGAGTTGCACGGATGTACTAATATGTGTTTAATGACAAAATAATAGTCGACGAAGAAGGATGAGCGAGGGATCAAAATATTACAATTTATATTGTAAGACACGATGGGATGGAAAAAATAACACTCTTTAAACTGCTGCGGTATTCACGAAAAGTTGTTTTTTTACAAGAATCATTGGCCGCCGTACAATAAACGAAACCGGCGCCGCTCCGTCGCAATGTTTCGTTTTGTGTTTATCTCTCGCTCTATCACTCTCACTCTTTCTCTCTCCGAGTACATAATAATATGTAGTGTATAATAATATGCATATTGCATATACATACAAAATTATATTATGTAGAAATAGATGTTTATGTACATATTATTACATTAAACTGAACGTGTCAGCCGATCTTATCACTTTCTCTTATCACAACAAACGGGGCGGCGAGTTCCGAGAATATTAAATTACACTGTCGGCGCGCTGCTGTGCGATACATCACATGAATGCCACCGCCATCGTATTCTGTTGTCTTATCAGCGACGCGCAGATAGGAAATCCTGGAAAAAAGGCGCGACGGGCGAAGGTTAAATTTGCAACAATATTACGGTGTGAATAAAAACAACATCGTGCAATAATAATATACACGAAGGACGAGACAGAAATTCTTATAAAAATATACCTTAATGTACGATAGAGAAATGAGAATATAATCCTTCTAGCCCAAATGGACGACTGTTGGCCGTTTAGTACAGTGGCAAGGGACACAAGAAGTTGTAAAAAATAAAAATCGGTCCGACACACTGAAAAAGCGTTTTAAAAGGTAGGGAAAATGGGAAAATAAGCTGATGCGTGCACCACCGCTTGCAGTCGGGCACACGGCCAGGTCGACGTCAAATGCGTATAATAGGGACTGCAAAGCACTTAAGCGTAGGAGTAAGGGGTGCTTACCGATTTCGCATCGTCTGCTCCAGTGGAACGGGTTGCAACACAGCATGTCGGGTTGTTTGGCCGTCTGGCAGGAGGGTGTGCTCTTAAGCTGTTCGACGGTCCTGAGGTCGGGCCACCGCCACAGTCGACAGCATATGACCGCCGGATCGGCGAATAGGAACGGCCGGACGGCCACGCACTCGGCCGCGTCCACGCCACCGGTGTCCACGGCCCTGAGCAGCGTCTCCAGCTGCCTGTCGTCCAGCCGCTTGAACAGCGCGTTGCGGAACTGCCGTTCGTCCGACTCGACTGGCGGGGAAGGGTGCGCGGACGGAGGTGACGTCGCCGCCGCTGCTACCGGTGGCTGAGCGGCCGCGGCGGACGCCGAGGAGGTCTTTTCCGCACACCTGGCTTCATTGTCTCGGCGCACCCGTGCCTTCCACAAGCGTTTAGCTAATGCCGTCCGTCTCCTCCTGAACATGAACATAAAACACGTGAACGCCGCCTCGCATTTGGTGGCCACTACTTCCGCCGACCCGCCGAACCGAATACTGCGCTGGTCCGCCGGCGGCCGGCGTGACGCGCGCGGGGCGGCGGCGGCACCTTGATATGTGATCGCGGCGTGCGCACCACGTTTTCCGGACGCATCCGTGTCTGGCCGACCGTTGTCGTCCGTGCGGCGTCGTCCAAGACGATGCCGCCGCCGCCGTCGTCGTCGTTATAATGCACCGCTGCCGGCGACGGCGTTAACAACGACAGCTGCAGCCACGGAATTGTACAAGGTGGTCATTTCGCGCCGCTACCACACAGGCAACACAATAATAATAATATTATTGCAGTGATCGTGTGAACGATACCGTTACGCACTGCGCTATACACCACGTGTCGTCGACTTTAAACGAAAATACCGAAAACACGACGGTAATTTTAACGTAAATTATGAATATTTTCTCAACAGATATTCCTCCTAACACGTGACGTGCGATCGGAAAGATTGGAACGGGTGACAACGACCAAACTGGTCACACATGACAATATTATTATGATATTAGATATTATGCACTCGACACACGCACTATTTTAACCAAAATGTGTAATTATGTATTTGTATAGCGTATGTCAATAATAACAACAGCGATGACGATGACGATGATGATTATAATAAATAATAATAAACAACAACGACGATAATAATAATATTAAGATTATATTTTTTGTTCCGATCGAATATTATTGCGGCGACAGTAACGAAACGAATAGCCGGCCGATCGGTACGAGACTGACGGGTGAGAGAGCCAAGCCAAACGGCGGCGAGCGCACACACGGTGTTTGCGTGTGTGTATGTGTGCGTGTGTGCGTGTGTGTGTGGCTTGGAATGGAACGCGGGTCGGCGAGGCGGAGACGCGCGTGCGTGTGTTCGTGCGTGCGTCGGGTAAAGAAAACGGGAACGGCGACGGCCGCCGACGTCGTCGTGTAACTATGCCGCCAGCCCGGTGGTAACGCCGCACCGCCCCGCCGCTCCGCTCGTCATGTGCAGCCGCCGCACCGACGTCGCGCCGCAGCAACACCGGCTCGCCACAGCCGTCGCCGCTACCCGCCGGCCGCCCGGAGTACCGTGTCTCCACGCACGGGGCGCCACCTACCCCGGCGCCACCGGTGTGCAGTGCGACCACGCGCGCCGAGCCGAATGTCGTGGATTTGTCGCACGTGTGGTCCTCTCTCTCTCACTCGCTCATTCTCTTTGGTCCGCGAGCACAAACATACTGTTACTACATACATAATATTACTATTATTTTTATTATTATTTATTATTATAATATACACGTCGTCGTCAAAGACGCCGTTCTTTGTAAGACGTTCTCTCTCGTTTTTTTTGTTTTTTTAATCATTCGACAAACGCACTATAGGACTCAAAATTCGGTCTACTATTTAGTAAAACCCCTACCTAATACATAACATATGCACCTTTGTCGTTTACAATATGAGCACGACTGTCGCATGATTTTTTTTTTGTTTTCATATGTTCATATCCAACGAAAGCGCATACATTTTTTGCAGACAATTTTCCTTTACGTTAGCCGCACGTGTTTGACTTATTTTCTTCCATTAACTATATTAGTTAGCCCTAATATGTGACTATATAATGTACCAAATAATATAAACGATCGACTCGTAAAGAAATCCTCCGAGTTTTTACCTACGCCAACCAATATTTTGGGCGTCACCGTTTTCCGCCAAAATCGACCTTACCGTTTACCGCCAAGTCCGTTTACCGCCAGTGCAATAATATATATTTCCTTTTTCCGCCACTACAAATTTCAGTTTTTATATTTTGGTAACCCCTGATTGAAAGAATTAAAATGTAGTATTATATCGTTTATTTTATCACGTAGATAATATATTATGTTCACAATCATATTTTTTCTCCATTAACTGTGTAGGTCAAACATTTAGGCATTTATTTATTATAATTAGTAATGATTTTTTTTGACAAAAACACATTCAAGTGATACTTAAAATTAAAATTATATAGTATAATATATTACAAAAAAGTCAATATTACTACGTAAAATACGATATCACAGTCAAACATTTAGGCATTTATTAATTATAATTGGTAATGATTTTTTTTGACAAAAACACATTCAAGTGATACTTAAAATTAAAATTATATAGTATAATATATTACAAAAAAGTCAATATTACTACGTAAAATACGATATCACAGTCAAACATTTAGGCATTTATTTGTTATAATTGGTAATGATTTTTAAAATAACAGAAATAATTAGGTACCTAGTCAATTTTTAATTAAATATATGATCCTTTATATATTATTTGATATAGTTATACGCTATTGATTTTACAAAGGTATATCGGCATATTTCTCCCCTTTTATATTGGTCAATTAAATTCTGGTTTTTTTTTTGTCGTCTTAAAATTTGGTTTCGCGGTGTTTTTTGTTCATCGACGCTTCTTATTTTACAATAAACGTCAGTTTGAACTTCATCGACTAAAACATTTAACCATTGTAAAATAGATGGCGAATGTCGATAAAAACTATTTTTAAAATGTGCATGAAATGACTCGCAGGCATTTGTTGTGCGTGTAAGTTCTGAAGATGCAAGTGCCCAAAGTTTTGGAGGATAAATACAATCTTCAGAAATATATGTTTCTACAAAATAATCAGCAAACTTTTGCAGCCTTTCATCGATCGGACACTCGCTCATAAAGTCGTCGGTGAAACAATCACTTACATCTTCCGGATTTAGAAATAATAAGCCAAATATACTACGTAACCATTTACCAATTTCAGACAGCGGCTTTGATGAGCCAACATGGCCAGTTGTTAACCAGGGGTTACCAAAATATATAAACTGAAATTTGTGGTGGCGGTAAAAGGAAATATATATTTTTGTACTGGCGGTAAACGGACTTGGCGGTAAACGGAAAGGTCGATTTTGGCGGAAAAGTAGATCACCCAATATTTTATGAAAAATAATTCGTTTACCAACGCCAAATTGCGTCCGTGACATGAATTGCATTTGAATGCCACCACCGCGCGTTCATCCAGGAAATCCCCTCCCATTACTCGTCCCGCGTATACATAAGTGATTTATAGACAAATGAAAATTAATAAATTATTTATATTTGACTTGTATATTCGAATTCAAAATACATATTATAGGTACAAGGTGTGCGTTGATCGCCAAAAAGTTTTTATATTTTTATTCCGGATCGTTGTCCGTTGATAAAGAATACAGAAAATACAACTGATACACATAACGTTATGAGACAAAAACTAGTAGTACCAAAAATGATAAACAGTACATTTATTATATCTACGTTTGTCAGGTTCCAGATTTGTAGGTTCTATTTTTAATTTTTAAAACAATAACGATCATAATATATTTTAATTTCGGCTAGCATTCTTAATCAGTCATATGAATGTCACTTATGACTTATAGTGTATGTGTACATACTCATGGTTCATGGTGTGTGGACGGATGGTATACATTATGATAAATCTTGAATTGACACTTATAAGAGCAACATATATTTCGAGTACAAAATAGGTATTTTGTTGATTTAATTTCAAACGCAATAACTTCTTTTCAGTGTAAAAATCTGTTCGCTAAAATTAAAACAAATTAAATAGGTAACATAACTCATGACTCGCAAATATCAGGAATTTGTCAATAAACATTTTCAAAAAAACACTTATTAAACTCTCTCACCCAATAAAACCATCTTAACAATATCGATATAATCTTTACTACAAATTCGTGACGTTTAAATATTCCTCATATACGACAATAAATTAAATCATATAAATTTGAAAGAGTGCTTCTTCTACTCTCGAAGTCTCGAATTGATTCTTGAAATTTATTCAAAACTTAGTTGGCTAATCAAACTGCCAAGTCTCGTGTATGGGTACATAATATATACGGAATACGAATAATAATGTATATATACACAGAAAAACCATTATCGTTTTATAATATTTGTCATTTGATGTTTAAGTATAATAAAAACCTTGTGGAAATGTTAACATAATAACGACTCACATGTCCGAATACACAATAATAATATACACGATTTTAATAATTTCACCGAAGGAAATAATGAGCCAAGACGGTTACCATTTAAACGAACACAATAATGTAAACCTATACAATGATATAATATAATAATATACAAAAATACTACACAAATACACAACTGTCACACGTGCGCAACAGAAAAAATAACGTAAAATATTTTTGACTCCAAAATGTAGAATTCTTATGGCATGAATCGTGTTTTTATTTAGATGAGTTTAACACGCAGAATAAAACGGGAAATTAATTAAATTCTTCAATGGTTATGTCATCTTACAATGCGCGGTTTACCAGAATGTTAAAATAATTGTATTATAGTATATTTATATTATATTATACGCAAGGATTAATGCTGATTAAAATCACAATGACTTTTTATGTTTAATGTTGTTTTGAACTATACTGTCTTATTGTCAATAAAAGACGTCTTGCAAATAAAAAAATATATATATTACGCGTTCCCGGTGCAGAGATTGAAATGAAGGCGAGCTGGCTACGAAGGCGTGTAGGGCGGTTATTATTTGCAAGTTACAACATTACATTTTTAATCCGAAGGGATAATATTATTAAACAGAAGCGGTGGGTAACTTGGTGTATAATTTATTATACACGCAGTCAGATTTTTCCACCCGGGGTCGAATTATGTATGACACAATAACAGCTTGTTGTTGTGGAATCCAATTATAGTATAATAAATAGTATAAAGTGTTATTTTATTTTAATTGTTTTTATACCCTAGGTCAACTGTTGTTTAATTACAAAAATACTAGGTATTAATTATTATTGTTATTTAATGCTCTCACGCTATACCAAGAAAAGTATATAATTTTTTTAACACAAACATTTCTTGTCTTTTTTATGCCATAATTATATTTATTGTTGTAAATTAGTATTTAGGTACTATATGATATTTGAGACTATTTAGGTGCTGAGCTCACAATTTTACAATTTTAAGTGGACCAACGCCACAACCAAGCTGATTGTTAATATTCTTAGTTTTTTTTAGTGTTTTGTGATATTATAAAATAAAGCAAAAAAACATGGATAATATATGTTTAAGAAAAATATTATTATTATAACTTATAAGATATATATAGAATATAGATATTTACATTGTAATAAAATAAATACTCATTTAAGTATATTAGGTATTTTATATTCAAAGACGTGTTGTTATATGATAAATAAAATTTATAAATTGTAATTTATAACCCCATAATTTCAGTATTTTAAATTTGGGGAACGACTTTTATCCGGTGAATCGAAAATGTTTCAACCTTTTATTAACAGCTACAGTGAATACTTCATGATTGTAAAATGATTTAACTCTGTGGACTGTAGATGTAAAATGGTTTTACTTTACATAGGTTCGTATCAGTTAAAAGTTATAACGTATACATCACAGTCATGCTATATATATGAATACGTGTACATACTACTATAGTAGTACAGTAGATAGAATGTGCACGATGTCACGATGTACCACCTGTAGCTTCGATTTTATCTTAGAAAGCAACTTCATAATATCACACAAGTGAATATGGTTTAATCGCATACATAATTGCCCTAAACCTAAATCCTAAAAAATAAATTAGATTTTTTGAAAACCATTTGGTAACAATCTAGTTGCATTCCGTGAAATCACATTACGCAGCTTACCTTACAAATGTTAAATGGGATGCAACTAGTATTTTCTCAAACATTTATTTCCATATCAAAAATATTTGAGATAAAATTCGGTTGTTTTGTTTAATAATACAAATTTGAAGTAGTTATAATTTTATTAAAGATATTGTTTGGTTCATTGGAGTCGTTGTGGGTTTGTTAGCCAATTATTGGAAAG